AAGAATTTCTGCTTCAGCAATCATCAACATATAGGTTAGATCAAATAAGGCCACATTGAGATTCCTCGTATGAAAGTTCTTAATGAACTAACCATATGACTTAGGAAGATAAAGAAGAACCAAATCATTGGCTTGCTTCTTTGGGAATATGATATCATATCCAATTTATTGAAGTATGCTTTCATTTTTCAGAACATGCGTACACACAAAATCTCCATCTTCATGTTTACATGCCAAAAGTGCTTGAGTTGTTTCGTATCTTCTAACCCATGATGTTGTGAGAGTCACTGGAGGAGGAGGTGGAAGAGATGAAAGATGCTGATGTTCAATTCCATCATTACCTAAGGATGGGAAAACAATTTCACCTTGATTCGAATGTGGAAGACCATTTCCAAAAGATTGAGGAAAAACATTTCCCAAAGAATGAGGAAGACCATTATTGTCTTGATTTGACATCTAAACTATGGGAGAAGAGAGAATTCAATCTAGTTGGTTTTAATCCTTAATTATTAACCCAAAATTTAAATTAAGGCTAGGATCCGTATTTCGACCTTTGAAGGGGGATCTCATAATCAATTTCGAATCTATTTTAGGTAGTTAGAGTTATCTAACCAGTTTTAATCACATGAAACTCCTAGATATTTTTTGAGATTAATCTAATCTTATCAATGACTTGTTTAATCTTGATTATGCTCTTACCAATTGACTGGGATGCTGAGGATCACAATGAAGATGTGACTAACCATGCAAATCCGCCCAAACACCCTCAATCGATTTATGATCTCCCATTGATGTGTTGATTAACCACACACACTCCATAAACAATGATAAACATGAGTTGTTCATTATTTCATCTTTATAGTCATAGATTAGTGTGCTGGTTAACCATACATGCTCAACTAACGACTCATAAAGAAACAACGTGTGTTTTCATGGATTAGCAGACACTTCACATTTTTCCTATAGTAGCTAGAGTTGGGATTTATATAAAAGGTTCTGGTACTTTAATAACATTATACTTTTCAAAGGTTATTTTCTATAAAATTCGTTCGACCACCAAACAAGGGAGCGGTGGGTGAGAGTTGACATCCATTCAACGGTCATTTTATAAGTCGTTTCCTTATACCTCCTTATAGTATGTCTTTGTGAATGAGGCGTACTACCGATTTAACTAACTTGTCTCATACATATAATATATTATACTTTTAACCATATATAATATTAGGTGTATTTTAAAACTTTTCAAAATACTAGAGTTTAAAATTAATTTTCGAATTAAACTTTTAATAATAATTAACTTTAAACAATTAATGTTTTACCAATTATCATTTAATTAACAAATTAAATTTAATTTTAATCATTAATGATTTAAATAATAATATTCAATTAAACAATTAATAAAATAATTCAAATTTAAATCATAATGGATTAGATAATTATCTTCATTTAAACAATTAATAAAATAATTCAAATTTAAATCATAATGGATTAATTAACTATCTTCAATTTACAATTATTAAAATAATTCAAATTTAAACCTAATCCTTTAACCCTTCTAATTTTTGAAAAGGGGTAAGGGTTATATCGAAAATAGAAACCCTAAGGGATCATACCAATTTTCGAAAGTAAGGGTGAATGCTAGGGTTTCAAGAACCCTAGCCATCATCGAAAATTTTAAGGCCATTAGGGTTTAATTTCCAAAAACACTAATTTTGATCAATTCATTATTATGCACAATCAATTAGAAAACTAAGACTCTGATGCCACCGATTGGTTTTCTAGGTTATAAAAAAAGTCATGTGGTGGAAAAACACATAAACCCTTAATATACAACCTAGAAATGATATATGTTTTCTCTATTGATATAAATGACCTATGAATATCAAGAAACCCTAGAGAGAGGCTATGAAAATCGAAATTAACATAAAGATTACGATTACATTCCTTTTGATTACTATAGCAAATAATCAAACCAAAATCCTCTTGAAGTTCCTTGGAAAGCAAACACCAAAAGCTTGAATGTCTCTAATGGCTCATACTTAAAAGCTTAGAAACCCTAGAATGATGAGGAGAGAGATGAGAGAGGCAGAATTTTCATTCCTACGCTTATAGGAAGGAGCGACAAAAACATAAGACCCTTAAGGGGCTATTTATAGGTGATTAAGGTATTCTAAGATAATCTTCATTTGAATATTATAGTTATATCTCAAACAAGGTTGAATATTTTTACTATTTCCTTGCCCTTCAAGGCTTCCGGAAGCTTTCATTTGCTTAACTTTTAAACATCGTCGTCTTTAGTCCTTGTACTTTTAATTAATTCAATTAATCTTAAAATTAATTCCACTTAATTTCTGATTAATAATTAATTCATTATAATTGATTGGTTATTAATTTATAAGTGATATAAATTAGAAAATAAATTATTTAACAATTGAACTCATATTAACTTAATAATCATATAATAAATCAAGAAATCAACTGTATATTTCAAATTAATATATTAATCACATAATCTATTAATAAATCATTTTATCATAACTTCCAATCAGTTTATCATATAGTAATCTAATAAATTATATTTTTCTCTCCTAAAATCATTTCTAGCCATTTTCGGTAATGAGGGAAACCCAAAATGACTTTGCTTCTAATTATAAAAATATACCAATTTAGTTACTGATAATGTTGTAAAAAACGTTTAACATTAGCTAGTCGGTGAACTGGGTTAAGAGATTAATCGGCTAGGCGGAGATTAATCGGGGACCATTAATTGCTAATTTGTTGAATTTTAAAAAATTTAATATGACTAAAATCATAACAAGGTTAATAAATACCTTTAATATCATAGGAAAATAGGTTAATATAATTAATACAACAGTACTCATTCCTCAAATAGTTTGTATTATGATAGAACTTCTTCAAAATGTTAAAAATTTATCGTTTTCTAATGATTTACTCATTGTATATGCAAGCATTAATCGTTATGCGCCCTCTAGTAGGTCAAGTAACGCCTAGAGATTAATCAGAGAATAATCGGAACATAGTCGGGATTTGTACAACACTGATTACTAGATTAGACACTTTAATTCAACACTAAAAGCATGAAGTAATATTTATTTTAGCAATTATATAGTGGTATAAAGATAGTGCCACTAAAACTCAAAAGTTCTTTAGTGGCCTAATAAAAAAATGGTAGTAAAACCAAATAAGGCTACAACAGCACAACAAAAAAGTGTCACTAAAGACCCTTAATTAGTGGCAGCTCTTTTGATGACACTGTTTTATGTGCCGCTGATTTCCGCGGGGGGGGGGGGGGGGGGGGGGACTTTAGTGGTACATTCTCGTTTTTTATTGGTACTTTTTTTATGCCAATAAATATCATTTAGTTTGTAGTGTTGATTGGATCTTTGCATTCTCCATCAACTACCAAATCTCCCATTGAGGACTCAAATGATATCAGAAGTTGTTATTCTTGTAACTTCTCTATGGTTGTTTTCTTTCCAACTCTTAATACATTTATATCCCAATTTTATCTCAAACCTTTAGACCCTAAATAAAATCTTAACATTAAAGATTTGCACAACAAACTTGTACACCAACAAAACCTTTAATTTATTCAGGGTGATGAGAGAGGGACATCGTCCTTTCTTAAGGAGAATATATGGACGAGAATAGACCTCCAAGTATGCCAGTATGACTAGCAACAACACCTCTTTTCCCTCCTCCATCGTCTTTATCAATATCAACCGACCCATTATTATTCATCTTAGAATATGAGAGTGGTATGATTACTCTGTTTTTCTTGCTCTTTGTAGGATGCTAGAGAGTGTGAGAGATGATTAACTGTGCTATAACCCTATCAATGTTCATTTTATCAAAACTCTAGAATTTCAATACATTCTACAAAAAAATTCAATAGATGATAAGAATAATCAATAAAATTAAAATAAAAATTGTACAATAAGATAGAAAAAAATAAACATACGGTTCGAGTTGCTAAGAAGGTGAGCTGATAGGTCTCGTTTGGCATCTTCGTCTTGGTTAGAGATTATAGAGAAGAGAATACAAATGTACCTCAGATGACTATTTGAAAGCAAGCGGTGGTGTGTAGAAAAAACCATCGACTTGGGGATCTTTGGTGGTGGCAGCAAACAATGATCACGTTAGTAAGATTAGAGTTTTTGGTGAGAGAGTTGAGAGGATACGCTTTTTAAAGAGGTTGTGGGAGAACTTTGTAGAAGATACACCGAGCCATAGATCATTTGATTATAAGATCATATTCTTCAATTGCATTAAAATAGCCTTAATTTCTTCAAGATTCTTCAGACTATTTGTTAAAATAGAAAGCACCAAAGATTTGAAGGCGATTGGAAGAAGATGCAAAATAAAATTGAAGCCCTTTCAGAAGCAAAATGGGTTTATTTGTAGATGCACATTGATGATTGTTTTGGAAAGGATAAAGGATTTGAATTTGAGGGTGACACAATCAAATGGATGTGTATGTGTGATATTAGGAAACAAACACATAGAACATTTATTGATTCTCTGATTTAATAGAATACATTAATGTAATTTAATTAAAAAAATACATAATAACATGCGTTTTTTGAAATAATTCAAAATTTTCGCATAATAACATGTGTCAAAAGGCCTAAGCATATAATAAGCGGTAGTAAAAAAATATATTTATTAGGATATATATGTATTAGTGACTTTAGCATCAAAGTATGTCCTCAGCTTCACAACCTGTTAATTGTTCGAAGTAGTAACAGCCGTAAGATCAAAGACATGTTCATGTGGGGAGCCAAATACTCATCAATGGGCAATATAACTTTTTTGGACACAAAAGAAGAAAAACGAAAGGGAATAAACTATCGGTGAAGGCATTAATCTTGATAACAAATTTAGTAGCTAGATTATTGTATCAAGGTACATATATATGCATACTCACACAAAAGATTAATAATAGTTTTATATCATAACATATAACATATGTTTAAGAATCAATTAAAAAGTTTGGTAACTATAGAATTTAAAGCCTCATCTGCAATAATCTTATACATCCTATCAGTTGGATGAACTGCATCCCAGAATAAATATCTTTCTCGATCAGCACATGCACCCAATCCTCTACAAGTAACACCATATTCAAACGTTCCTGTTCCACAACAACCCTTTGAAGTCTCTAGAAACCCTGTACATGACATTATTTAATTCAAAAATTGAACTACACAATATATAATTCATAAAAAATGGATTACATAAAGTTGTCAAAATACAACATTAAAACTTACCATATTTTGTAGGGTTTTGGGTTGCACTTAGAATGAGATTATAAGCATCAATATAGCCTGTTTTCATCCCTAATGATGTTTTTAATGCAACCAATTCGTTCTTGATCTTGTTATTGAATGAAAGAGCAACATGGTTATATTCGTCGTCACATTTAGTTGTACCCTTCAATGTCTTCACTAAAGGCATACATCCAAATGGAACAACCCCAACAACCACCAATCTTCTTGCTCCTAGAGCATGCATTTTCTACACAAATCGATATTCAAGAAAGGTATTAAATCAATAGAATATAAAGATTACAAGAATTAAATCTAATAAAAAGATAAGTAATTAAAAGTACCTTGGCGTAATCGTGAAAGTTAGAAATTAAGTAATCTCCATATTGTTCCACAGTGTATTGGGCGCATCGTGTAGGCTCCACGTAGTAGTTTTGGAGAAAATCATTGGTTCCCATGCTCAACACAAAAACCGCATTTTTGATGGATTCCGCAGCTTTTTTTGGACCTATCTTTAGGCTAAGTTGTCGTTTGTAATGTGCAAAATACTTCAATTGATGCGATAAACTCAATACATTCTTCACATCAATAAAAGATAGATCGAATCAATATTTTGTACCAGTCGTTATAACCGTAGTAAATTCAAACAACATAAAGAATGAGGCTGAAAATTGTTTCTTGCCAAAAAAAAAAAAAAGCTTTATTGGTCATAAACACATTTAAAATGATTCTTAGGGTGGTAGATAGTGTCGGATATAAAAATGAGCTTCTTCTAAAATATCTTAAAGTTGAAATAATGGTATATTTAGAAATAGTCAAACTTTAATGCCAAAAAATATAAAATAGAGTAAATTACATAAAATGAGCTGAAATCAAATAGGTTGAACGGGGTTGAATGCCCTCAAAATTTATTGAAAATGCGTACAATTGGTTAAAGGCTTTTTATTTA